ACTACTACTACTACTACTACTACTATGACGACGACGACAATTATGTGTAGTGAATGGGTCGCTACTTTTGCTGCTGCTGCTGCTGCTACTACTACTACTGACACTACAACAGCTACTACTACTACTACTACTTTTAATACTACTACTACTACCACTACTACTAATAACAATAATAATAATAATAATACAGATAATAATAACCAAAATAATAAGTCTTGATTCTAATAGGAACAAAAAAAAGCTGCCACAAGAAATTAACTTGAATAGAATCGCGACAAATCGCGATGACCACATTGTAGTAGCACCACTGACATATGCGTAATGAGGTGCATGCAGTTTGCACTCGGCGGAGGAACTATTTTATTGTCCTGTACGCGCCATCATCCCCGTCATCTTCCTTTCTTAGTTCAATTCTTATTCTTCTTCTTTTCATTTAATTTTTCTTTTTTTCGTTATCTTTCTCCCTCTCTCTGCCCGTCTGTCTCTGCTCTTGTCTTTTTTATCTCTCTCTCCTCTCTCTCTCTCTCTCTTATTCTAGCTTCTTTTTTCTAATTTTTTCTATTCCACTGCACGGAACTAAATCTGAATGTACGTTATTTTTCACGAAATATCTCCATCTTATCCTGCCTTTCTCTTTTTCTCTTCTTCTTTCTCTGTCTTTGTCTCTTTCATCTCTTTTCTTCCTTACTCTTTCTCTCTTTGATTCTCTTTCTCTTTCCCACCTCTCTCTCTCTCTCTCTCTCTCTCTTTCTCTCTCTCTCTCTCTCTCTTTCTCTCTCTCTCTCTCTCTCTCTCTCTTTCACTCACTTCTATCATTCCGACAATATTTATGACTTCTTATTGGCGCGTAGTAGTAGTAGTGGTAGATTGTTATCGTCTGGGTGGTCGTCAACGAGGTTGATGCAATATTTTTATGTTGTCTAGTACACACACATGTGTATGTTGTGTGTGTTTGTGTGTGTGTGTGTTTGTGTATATATGTGCGTGTGTGTGTATAAGTTTGTGTGTGACTGAATTGAACATTAATCTAATAATTTCAAATAGTTATGAAATAAATTGAAGACAGATTGAATGAAATTATTTGGTTAATTGAGATGAAACCAATTAGTTTGTCGTGTGTATGTGCGCGTATGTGAATGTTTGTATGTGTGTGTGTGTGTGTGTGTGTGTGTGTGTGTGTGTGTGTGTGTGTGCG